AGAGAGAGAGAGAGAGAGAGAGAGAGAGAGAGAGAGAGAGAGATCAGAAACCAAGCATACAAGTGCAGGAGAACCCTGAATTTTAAACCAGCCTAAGCTACAAACTCTAAGAGTCTGGAAGTAGCTTTGTGTCTAGTGTGTGCAACATTTGATCCTTAACACTGTAAACAAAACAGTGTAACAAACTCAAAACCACAAATTACAAGACTGAGATTAGAGCTGACCAACTTTGACTGAAACAAAAAGTTTAGGATGTTCTCTTTTAACTTTACAAAACCAGCTGCTAATGAGAAGATAAAGGCAGGGAAGTCCATCCTAATCATATAAAATAAGAGTCAGTGAGGAGGTCACCCTAAAGAAGACAATGTATGTTTGTATGCTTGCTTGTCTGTATGTACTCTATACATACAGAAACCTGCAAAGACTTAAGGCAGAGCATCCGATCCTTTGGGGCTTTAGATAAAGGTGATTGTGAGCATCTGATGTGGGTGGTGGGAATGGATCCACATCCTCTGCAAGAACTTTAAGCTCTCTACCATGGAACCAGTCTCCCAACTGCCAAAAGATGGTGGCTATGATGCATGTTTAGCATTTACACTAACTGAAAGTGAAACTTCAGAATGTGCTATCATAAAACATGACACACCATTATGAGCCACCTGCACTAAAGTTTCACACTATGGTAGTTTGAAAGAAAATGGCCTCCAAAGGGAGCAGCAATATTAGGAGGTATAGTCTTATTCTAGTAGGTTTGGTCTTACAGGAGGAAGTGTGTCACTGCGGGGGTGGGCTCTGAGGTTTCATATGTACTCAAGCCATGTTTAGTGAGACAAGCTATTTCCAGTTGCCAGCATACCAATATGTAGCAGATACCTCTCAAACACCATGTTTTCCTGCACACCATGTCCCACCATGATGATAATGGACTGAACCACTGAACTGTAGGCAACTCACCATAATTAATGTTTTCTTTGAAAGAGTTCACATGGTCATGTTGTATCTTTACAGAAATAGAAACCCTAACTAAGACACTTACCTGCCATTTTCAATTCCTTGACTTTCATGAGCCTCCACCCTTTTTTATTTACTATGAAATAACTTCCTCACTGACTTCCCTGCCTTTACCTCTTCATTAGCAGCTGAAGCCTCACCTTCTCCTATGCAATTGTCCCTAGGCTCTTAAGGCCACTGTCCTTTTCAAGCAGGCTGGCTTTCCTTGTTTCTCTTGCCTTATCTGGCCTCTGTCTCTGGACATACTCAGAATTCTTAATGCTGTCCTCTTTGAGAAATGGAATTCTGGTTGATACAAACTTTTGTTTCGATGATTTATATATCCTCATTTTTCTACATCAAGTATGTTTTTATTAGTCCATCCTAATCATATATAAAATAAGAGTCATTTATACACATATTAAACAACTTTCTATATGTGTGTAAGACAGTTTGATTATGTCTGCTCTCTTTTACCACTTTCCCCTCCTTTCTTCATCCTCTTCCTGTTCTCTAACCTTTTCTTTTTGCATGGGCCCTTGCTGTGTTGTTCAGGTTGGTGACAAAGTCCTCAGCTCTAGATAACTAGCATGTTCCTGACTATTGCAACAGTCACATCCTATATAATTAGAGTGGTTGATTGTCTTCTCTCTCAGTTTTGAAATCCTCGGGGCAGAAACTGTATTTCTCCTCTTGAGATTGATTGTTAAGACCTGACTTAAAAATAAGTGCTTAATGAATCATCTAGAGAGCATAAAGGCACATCCTGATACCGAGTAACCACTTCTGCACAGTGACAGGGGCCCCTGGAACGAGAGGCCTATCTTGCTGCTGAGATTGATAGGAAGCTGGGAAGCCTCTGGGTTGGGTGCAAGGTTCATGTTGCCTTCATTGATACATACAGGAAAGTGATCTGGGTTGGAGAAACATAAGGACTGTTAAAAATACTCCTTCTAAGGTATGTTGGGAAGACCTTAGGGCCAAGGTCACTGTCATGGGGAGTGGGGATGGCATCTCTTTGGGTTGTATAAGAAATTTATCAGAGAGAAATCATGGTAATAGAGGATCAGTGGGCCATTTGAACCTGTGAAGGGTGAAGAAAATTGAATCAGAAAGGTGGAGAGGTAAAAATCCATAGCCCCATCACATAATCAGGCACATAGAGGCAATTAGAGAAAGGTGATCAGTTAGATGCCACTGATGACCTGTAGCCTTTGCCTTGTAGCCAGCTAAGAGTGCTGCTGGTGCTCAGAACATGTGTGCTCATGGGATCCATAGATACTCACAGAACCATCCTGGGGGCCTTTGAGATTTTTCTCTGCTGTCCACCCCCATTCAACTGAAGCCACTTGACATGACAGCAGTACTTAATGCAGAAAGTGGCCACCATGAGTTCCATGTCTGTCTGGATCACCATGTACTCCACTCCTCTCTGGGACACTGGATGTACTATATCCTTTGGGGAACGTACATTTGTTTCTTGATAATTTTGCATCACCTGTGTCAGGAGCTCTTCATCCTGAATCTCATAAAGACAATGGAGAAAACCCAGAGAATATGGTTTATGGCACAGGGTTTCCTCTAGGATATACCATTGTAGGTTCAACCTTGTCTCCAAAGGCAACCTGCAGGCAAAGATCTTCTCCATTTCTCTCATTCCATTTTCACTTAAAAGACCAAATAGGAAGCGCACAGTGGGTGCCTCAAACAGGTTATGTCTTCCATAGATGTCCTTCAGTGTTTCCATCGTTCTGTAGATACACAAATAATCATGTCTCTCCTCATTACACTGAAAGGTCAATGACATTGCTGCAAAAAACTCCTGGAGACACAAGTGGCCAAAGCTGTAACTCATAGAGTTGGGTTGCTTTTGAAGGATGCCCACCTTCAGGAAAGTGACAATGACATTGCTACCTAACCTTTGGATCCAGAAATCGCTCTCACTGAACAGGGTCCTTCTTTGGCAGATCCCCTCAGTGGCCAGTGAGCAGAGCCTTCTGAGATGGGTCCTCTGGACACGACCTGAGAGAGCCTGGGAAAGGTATTCCAGGCAGAGGGATGTGGTGGTCCGTGAGGTCAGTTTGAGGTCTTCTCCCTGATCCATCTGTTCCTTCAGGCAGGTGCAGACAAGCCAGGACACCCAGGGCACCACACACAGTGTTGAGAGCACTGGGTTTGATTTAACCAAGTTAAAAGCTGCCATTGCTTCTCTTTTCTCTGTGAAATATTTGGAGATATAGTTCTTCCGTCCAGCTTTGGAGAAACCGAGGACTTCTACCAAACAAGGCTGCCTGAAAGAAGGAATAAGCTTCTTCAGTTCTGTGGTCCGAGCTGTGAGCAGCAAGTAAGCCCCAGGCAGGACAGATTTTCCCAGCAAACTGCCCAGCAGGGTGTGGACTGGCTGTGGCTGACTCCAGTGCAGACAGAGCTCAGGATTCTTCTCCCTCAAGACCCATTCAGGCTCATCTATGCCATCCAGGATGAAGAGCAGCTGCTTAGGGTGAGACAAGATCTCCCTGATGGGAGCTGCAGGCAGAGTCTGGTCTTTTGCTATGAGCTCAGCCAGACTCAGCTGCTTGCACTGGGCCAGCTCTCTGCAACTGAAGTAGAAGACATGCTGGAAGCGATCCCTATAGAGCTGACCTTCCTCCCATGCTCTCCTCACCTGCCTGGCTAGTGTTGACTTCCCAATCCCAGCAGCTCCCTCTAATACAACTAATTGAGGCTCTTCCTGGGTATCTGGGTCTGGGTCAAATAGTTCTTGGATTTCAATCAGATATCTTCTCTCCCCTCCTTTACTTTTATGCAAGCTTTCCCTGTTCAAGGTCTTCCAGCCTCTTGGGCAAGGTTTTGGTAGAAGTAGTAGCTGAGTGAAATTTTGTAGGGTATTCTCCATTTTCCAGGACTTAGTGTAGTAAAAATTATCTCTTCCTTTATTCTGATGTGTTTCTGAAATGAATCACAGATTAGGAAAGAAAGATGGAGCATGAATGAATCCATTAGAGTTGTTTGGTTTTGATTAGTTCCTTCCTTTCTCTCTTCCTTCCACCCTCAACACCTGGATGAATTTAGGCATCTGTCTAAACTGTACAGCAGACTGGCTGTGGGCGCTGTGATATTCTTATCAGTGTAGTGCAAAGAATGTGAGCTTTAGAGTAGAAGAATCTAGTTCAAGTCTTTACTTGATTAATAATAATGGTGGTGTATGATGTTCATTCACACTTCAGATATTTATTGTTGTCTTACTCTGTGCCATATCTGCTCTAGTGGTTGAAACTGAAGAGTGAGTTCACAGACATAGCTCTGTCCTCTTTCTGTTTATGGGATAATCTCATAGCTCCACTGAGCTTCTGTTTTCTCATCTGTAATTTGGGGGCTGTGATCTTTCCATGTAGGAGGCCATGGAGTACTGGAAAAAATGATAGACATTAAAGTCACTGCCTGCTCCTGAGAGATCCCATTGGTCCCCACCATTTCAATTCTGACAACATCATTCTGTAAGTCCTGAGATTCTGGGTCGGAAGGGATGGTTTTGGGATGCCATAGAATGGATGTCTCAGGACATCGACTTGGTCCCCTCTCCCCAGGCCTGGCAGCCCAAAGCATATTTTGTACTTCTTCCAGATATCATTGATTACAGAAAGCCTTGGTTGTGGCTACTATTTGAATGTCTTTTGTTCCCACCGAAACTCAGGTTGAAACTAACGTTGAAACTCCAGTTGCCAGTATAACAGGAAGTGGACAAGGGACTGGTGTGAGTGTTTGGAGTCATGGGGGCAGGCCCCTTATTAATTGATCAATACTTTTCTTCTAGGAATGGGTAAGCTGCTGTGGGTAGGTGTTCCCTTTCTCTCCTGCAGGCACCCACTTCCTGTATAGTTTTTTCTTAAGCAGAGTAGTCATAGTCTCTAGTTTCTGACTTCTGGACTCCAGAACTGTAATTAAATATACAAATGGTGTGGGAGAATTGTCTGTATTCTGTCAATCATATTTTAATAAAACGCTGATTGGCCAGGCAGGCAATATAGGCGGGAAAGCCAGACAGGAAGTAGAGGTGGATCAAAGAGACTGGGAGTATTCTGGGAAGCAGGAAGCTCCCTGCAGTTCTACCCAGACCACCGGAGAGGAAATATGTAAGCTGCCCTGCTGGAAAAGGTACTGAGCCACGTGCTAACGTAGATAAGGATAATGGGGTAACATAAGTTATAAGAGCTAATAAGTAGCCTGACCTAATGGGCCAATCAGTTTCTAACCTTATGGAGTCTTGTGTGTGATTTTCCTTGGGAGTTGCCGGTTGTGGGGTACCGGGCGAGACAGAAACCCCAACAAACCGGTCCCTCATGTTACATACAACTTCTAAAAACAAACAAAAAATAAAAAAAACAAAACCTAACCAAACAAACAAACAAAAAGCCATTGAGCGCCATGGTGTACTTCCATAGTTCATCACTCAGTAAACAGAGGCAGGCAGTCAAGAGCTCATGGCCAACTTTTCCTAATGGTAATTTCGGAAACGTTCTGGGCTATAATCAGTCAATCAATCCATCCATCAATTAAACAATCAATCAACAAGAATAACAATAGTTACCCAGTCTCTGTTTCTTGTCAATGGAAAACAAACTAACATACTTGCTTTCGATTTAACCTGCTCTATCATTAGCCACAGCACAATTGGCTGGCTTCCGCCTCCTGCCCTTACCTCTTTCCTCCAACAAGTGCATCTGAGTACTCTTCCCTCCAGGTTTGGATCTGCACACAAAGCTCATCTCAGCATCTTCTTTGGAATCAGATCAAGATAAGAGAAATAGGAGGATGCCCCATGAACCAGAATCCAAGTTCATTCCTCAGCACCTCAGGTTGCCTAAAGTACAAAGAAGTTGCTTGTCCTATCTTAGACAAGGTGCTGGAGAAAACTTCAGAGGAGCACAGAACATCAGTGCTCAGAATCATCAGTTCACACAATGAGCTCTTGAAAAACTGGCTTCAGGGGCCAACTTGCATCTGAAATAGGATCTATAGATCTGTTCTCATTGTCTTCTATAGGACAACATCTACTATCTCCTGAGTCCAGCATGCTGACCTCTCATGTCTATGGCCAAGATATGCCTGGGTCAGGCCATTTCTTCCAAAGGTACCAAGAGAGGGCTCAACTTTTCCTAGGCTGTGCTCTCCAAGACCTTTCAGCTGGGATGTATCTATTATTGTAGGACCCAGCCATGACAAGTTCATGAGAGGCCTGAATCTCAAGGACCACAACTGAGATCACCCAGGTACCACCCAGGAACAAACCACCCAAAGAAAATTCCTAAAGTTCCAACCATGTAGACAGGATCACCTGTTAGCACACACCCATCACTTTTCACCCCAACCTATGTTATTATAAAATTACCACCCCAACTGAGCTTGGGGCTCTCTGATCGTGCCAATGCATTGGGTACATGGGGAGTCCGAGAGTCCCTGTAAGAACTTGAATAAGAATAAAGGCTCTTTGCTTTTACACATGGGACTCAATCTCATTGTTTATTTGGGGGGACTCTGTGAATCTGGTCATAACATTTGGGGGCTCTCTAGGATCCCCAAAGCCCACTAGGACCACTGCTTTGTAGAACCTTCAGCCAGCCGGTAAGTTTTCTGTATTTATGTTTCGTTTTTCTGTTTTGGATATTCTTCTGTAAGTAGGCCCAGAATCTGTATGAGCGTGTAGATAGTCTGAGTAGACACACTTGAGAACACCACAGGTGGGGTACCTGAGAAGATTTTCAAGAGCCCATCTGTATGGGATTGATCCCTCTGGTTAATTTTGGGTCCCAGGACTTTTCTGTATGAGATCAAATCTCTTTGGTTTCTGTAAAAGGAACGAGCAGGTTGTACCTGCATTCTGGCATGGAGTTGACATCTTCAGTTCCTTTTGCCTCCAGGCACCAGGAGGCCTTTGTGTTGCTTTGTGAGCTGGGTTTTTTTTTTTGCGTTGTTATTTTGGTCTTTTGTCCAACCTCCTTCTGACTTACAAGAGTGATATAATGGGACAGACTCAAATCACGACTTTTTTGGTTTTGATACTAGGTCACTTACACGACTTTAGAGATAGGGCCATAAGCACAGGGTTTGAGCTTTTAAAAGGTGGGTTTATTTTCCTAAAAGGTATAGGATGAACAACCTCTATCACCTTGATCATTTCATTGGAATGAGGCAGTCTTGTCCCATAGCCCAGGGTCAATGTGGGCAGCCATACAAGCAGGAGGCTGCAGGGCAGCATGATTGTGTGGGCGGGGTAGCTGGGCTATGCAGCCTTGTAAAAATGTAGCAAGGTGGCTAGCCACAACTTGCAAGGGATGTGTATGCATAAAAAGGTTTTAAAACATTTGGATTATTTTTAATACTGCAGGAAGACATTTAAGAGATTTTAATTTTGCAATTTTGTTAAGAATAATTTTTAAAATATTTTAATTAATAAGTCTATGGGACATTTGTGCTTATAAAATGTTTTTTATTGTTAATGTTTGGATTTAAAACATAAGGGTAAAAATTAGGGTCACAGCAATAAGCACCAAATATTAACCAGAAATTGGAATGTTCATTTCTTGTAATGTAGCAAAACAATGGCCAAAGCAGTCTGGCAAAGGGCTTGGAACAATTTCTCAGCCCATTGAGTATTGACCTTTTGGTGGTTAAAAAACAAAACAAAACATTTTGAACCATCTGCATGTTAGATGTTTGTGTTAAGATTCATGACAATGGAAAACTGTACTTGTGAAATAACAACAGGTACAATTTTGTAATGGGGAGATAATCACAACACAGGGAACTTAAAAGTTCGAAGCATTAGAAGTTTGAGAACCAATGGCTTAGAAAATGTCTGGCTTTACTCAAGGTCTATTCAGGTTTAAAAATGTCTCCTTCCTTGTCTTTGCTAACTTTATTAAGCTCAAGTTATTTGGATAAACTGAGTCATATGAATCTTTTATGTTTCACTAAGAAAAGCTTCAATTCAATATCATCATTTTTAATGCCAAATCTGACAGAAATGTAATGTAAAGTCCTATGATGATGGAAGTTACAAAATAATCTCACACTAGCTCAGAATTGAGTATAATAAAGAGTTATTTATTTAGGGGTAGACTCACAGATGACAGTTCTCTACACAAGTGGAGAACAGGAACTGAATCCAGCAACTGAAAGAGAGAGACCAAATGCACGTGCTTTACATTGGCATTTATAGTGGACTGGTATCTTAAAGTGATGGGGGAAGCTTTGTTAACCAATCACCTCTAAGAAGTGGAATCTAATTAGGTGTGGCTACCTGGAGGCCATGAAAGAAAAACTGTAATGGACCAGGTGCTTGCTCTCTCTGGGTGATTCCCACGGGACACAGTAGAGCTTGAACTTCCCATTCTTGTGGCATGAGTTCCCCCTTAAAATAAGTAAAACTATAATTATTTATCTTGAAGCTGGCCTGGTTATTTTATGAATTGAGTTAACATTTACAGTTGGCTTATGATGCCTTTTTCACATCACTATTTTTATTTCTAGGGTTTAGTCTTGTCCTCAATACTTTTTTTCTTAAAAATATGGTTTAACAATAGGGAAATGGTGCAGTCTTTACAGACTGAATCCAGGCTTCTTAGGGAAGAAGTTGGGAATCTGAAGAAGGACATGATCACTTTAACTAACAATTTTCAGTCAGCTGAGGTACTTTTAAGCATGGTACAGACTGGTATGAAACTTCTTGGAAAGGAAGCTGTACATCTGAAGAAGAATACAAACACTTTGAATAACAAAACTCAGTCGAATGAGGTGCTTTTAGTACAGACTGATAACAAATTTTACAAAAAAAAAGATTGTGCATCTGAAGGAGGATACTAAGACTTCACTTAATAAGGCTCGGTCAATTGAGATATTTTTGGAAAAGGTACAGACTGATTGTAATGTATTTAAAGAGAGATTCAGCACTCTGGAGAAAGAAACAGCTGATTTGGCACATAAAACCCAATCCATGACAGTGGGTGCTGAAGCATTATTTGAGAGAATTTGCACTGTTGAATGTATTAATCAGACTCTGTCAAAGGGGTCTGACAGATTGACTGATAGAATGTCTCTCCAAGAAGGTAATATGCATGCCATGAATATTATGTCCAAGGATGAGACATTATCTCTACTGGACAGACTTCATACTTTTGAATCCTCAAAGAGGACTTTAGAGCAGAATTCTGAACAAGAGGTCCAGATATTACAAAAGGCAGTGGTAAACAGATTTGGAAAAATTGAGAAAATTATCGAATTTGATGACCAGGAACAAACGGTAAAAAGGTAAAATTTAACTTCGTCAGTACTTAAAAATCTCTGGGATAGCTTCCCCAGAGTTCTACCTGCCTTCCCAGTAATAACATCAGAAAAAGTATCTGGCTCCAAATATCCTAAGGTTGTCAAAGAATATACATGGGAGCCTATACATATGACTGATTTAAAAGAAATTAAGCAAGCAATTGTGGCTTACAGAATACATTCATCCTTTGTTAGAGAAATGGTCAAAACATGGGCTTTCAGTAACAAAGCCATACCACACGATTGGGCTCAGTTAATATCAGGAGTCCTAGAAATTGGACCACAATTGCATTGGAGATGTTTTCTTAAAGAGGAAGCTAGAATTTTAGAGCAACAAGAAAAAGCAAAAGGACTTGAGATTTTCCTAGATCAAATTCTAGGTGAAGGACTTTACTCTGATCCTCAGGATCAAGCTCTTAATGATGACCACACCTTGTCTCTATGTACCACAGCAGCTTTAAAGACTTGGGACAGTATTCAGGAACTAGGAAAGAGAGCTGAATCATATCTTAGGGTTAAACAGGGTCAAAGAGAAGCTTTTAGTGTCTTTTTGCAAAGACTAACTAGGGTTGTACAAATAGGGGTAACTGACCCAGAAGCTAGATGTATAATGATTGAATCTTTGGCCTATGAAAATGCCAACATACAGCGCAAAAGGATCCTGGGGTCTTTAAAGATCAAATCAGCACCCATGGATGAATGTGTCTTGCATACAATGAATGTTGAGACACTTTACTATGGTACTGAAGCTTGGGTAGGAAAAGAAATTTCCAATGGTAAGAGAAGACATCAAAATACCAAATGTTTTAATTGTGATAGAATGGGACATCTGAGAAGGGATTGTAGACAATGGATTTCTAGGAATAATGCCTCCTCTGGGAATGACAGAAATAGGAGGACTCAGCCTTTAGATATGTAGGAGATGTGGCAAAGGCCAACATTGGACCAATGAATGTAGGTCAACAAAAGATAGACAAGGCAGCCCAATACCATCAAGAAACACCATGGGGGGGCTCTCACAGGCCCCCATGATGAATGTGGTCCAGTCATTCCCAGTTACTGTGGAGAACATGTTTCACCAGGAAAATTAAAAAATCCAGTGCTTGCTGTCAAAAGCAATAATGATCTGAATTATGGAATAAATATGGAGGATAAGTCAAGAACTCTGGTAGGACAGAGGAAACATATATTCTGGCAGACTTCTATAAATGAACAAAGACCAAAGTTAAGAGTGTGTATAAATGGCATATTTATTGAAGGCATATTAGACATGGGTGCAGATGTAAGTATCATTACTCCAAAATCTTGGCATCTGAATTGGCCTCTTCAGGAGGGAGATGTTCAGTTCCTGGGAATTGGAACCCTATCTCAGGTAAGACAAAGCATGAGATGGGTTGAATGCATAGGGCTAGAAGGGCAAATAGGAAAACTAAGGCCATGTATAACTAATATTGC